GGCTGGACTCAAGGATCTGAAAGGTCTCTTCCAACCCAAACGATCCCATGATGAACATCACACACTACAGCTATTTCCAAGAGGACACGCTGGGCAGGTTGTGCCTACAGGCTGTCTGAAGGAGACCTTGGCTCATCCTCCTCCTGGGGAAGTGCTCTGCACTCCCAGGGGGCAGCAGCAGCAACTCCCAGAGCTCACCTGAGGCCGTGTTGGTCACCCCGTTCACTGTCCCCTCCACGTCTGCCTCTTCCTCAGCATAGCTCATCATCAAGGCTCTCTGGCGATCCGTCAGCCTCCTGCAGGCCCAGACAGGGGGGGGGATTAGGACAGGCCCATCTACAGACCTCCCAATCCTTCCCCAACAACAGGGAGCAGCAGCTAATGAAGTATAAGATGAATGCACTGGGCAGACAATGAAAATTTTAAGATTGCTCTTTAAAATGAGCAATCCACAAAGGACAGACACCCGTGGGAGAGGAGGGGTACAGCCCACTGCATCTCACCAAACTGCAGGGAAACCCCAACACGTTTTGAAGCACTAAGAAGCATGTGGAGCTGCACCAGAACACACATCTGGTGAGGAGACCCCAGGAAACAGACTCTGAAGAACGTGTTCTTTTGGTAAAAATTCAAGATTTCACAGAAACTTTGTTCATCTGGTGAGAAGAGCCCAGGAAACAGACTCTGAAGAACATGTTCTTTTGGTAAAATTTCAAGATTTCACAGAAACTTTGTTCATCTGGTGAGAAGACCCCAGGAAACAGACTCTGAAGAACGTGTTCTTTTGGTAAAAATTCAAGATTTCACAGAAACTTTGTTCATCTGGTGAGAAGAGCCCAGGAAACAGACTCTGAAGAACATGTTCTTTTGGTAAAATTTCAAGATTTCACAGAAACTTTGTTCATCTGGTGAGAAGAGCCCAGGAAACAGACTCTGAAGAACATGTTCTTTTGGTAAAATTTCAAGATTTCACAGAAACTTTGCATCAGCTCTACTTACTGAGGGATTTTAATCTTGATGTGAATGTAGTGGTCGCCGTAGCCATAACTGTTCACCTTGGGAATGCCCTTCCCACTCATCCGAATCCTCTGCTCTGGCTGAATGCCAGGGGGTATCTACAGACACAGAGGTGGCACCTTTACTGCTCCAGTTTATAAAGCCATCACATGTCTACAAAAATTAACTGCTTCTCCAGCTTCAGAGCAGGACAGGGGATATCTGTTGTGTTCATGGACACATTCAGCAAAGCCAGTAATATGGGAAAAGCTTTTGAAGGGGCAAGTGAAGAACCTTGTGCAGCTGCAGACCTTGGATGGAACACGTCCAGCACACCCAGCTCTTCCTTCCCCTGTCCCCCCCCAGCACCAGGGCAGGAGGTGCCACCACAGAGGGCACAAACCCCCCACGCTCAATCCTGAGGAAGTCTGGGCTGTGCTACTGGCAGGCTTAGGAGACTTCCACCACGTCTGCAGCACAGAAGGCTCTGCTGTCCCACGTGGGCTCCTGCCCAAGCTCCTCCACCCCACGGTACTCACTGTGATGTTGATGGTCTCGTACAGGCCTTGACATCTGGCTGTGCCTCCCAGAACAGCCTGTGCTACTGAAATGAGGAGATCTGAATGGATATCTGCTCCGTTTCTTCTGAACACAGAACTTTTCTGCACCTAAAAGGTTCCAAAGAGACATCAGCACAGCACCAGAGCCCTCATGGGAAACTGCTCTGAAGGGGCTCAGAAGAAAACACAGCCCAGGGCTGCACCCAAAACCCTCAGCTGTGCAGTGTATGGATGGCAAAGAAGTCTAAGTTAATGTTCAGCCTTTTAGAAGAAGGCAGATCTCGACCATCTCAGCAACTCCTGCCCCTAGTCCTGCTGTTGATTGACCAGGGGCAGCACAACCCTGCTGAGACAAGGACACTCCCTGGGCCCTGCCCCCTCGGCAGGTACAGCAGAGGAGAGGGAGGCAAAGGGCTCTGCAGCAGCCTCACGAGCTGGAGGAGAACTAAATCCTCCTGCACCACAAAAAGGGTGCTGAGAAACTTCTCCTTGACAAGAAACTCTTGTGACAGGATTCCTGCAGGAAAACAGGGCCCCAGCTACAGAATGTGCCAAGCAGCACTTAAAAAATTGTTTTGGTTGGAAAAGACCTATAAGATCATGGAGTCCAAATGTTCCCCAGCACTGCCAGGTCCCCACTGCCCCGTGTCCCTCACACCACATCTCCACAGCCTGGAAACCCCTCCAGGGGTGGGGACTCCACCACTGCCCTGGGCAGCACAATTTCTTCCCCTTTTGGGGAAGAAATTTTTCCTCATGTCCAACCTAAACCTCCCCTGGGGCAACTTGAGGCCATTTCCTCTTGTTCTATTGCTTGCTCCCTGGGAGCAGAGCCCGACCCCCCCCTGGCTCCAGGCTCCTGTCAGGAGCTGTGCAGAGCCAGAAGGTCTCCCCTGAGCCTCCTTTGCTCCAGGCTCAGCACCCCCAGCTCCATCAGCTGCTCCTCCCCACACTTGGGCTCTGGACCCTGTGTGTCTGCACGAGGCCAGCTGACCAGCCAGCCTCCTGCAGGTGTTCCCTCAGTGCCCCCACCCTTGCAAGCAGTCAGCTCCTGCAGTGCTGCCAAGTCAAAGACTCCAGGCCCCACAAGCCTGCTCTGCATTCTGACACACACTGCCACCAGGGGCTCATCCTGAACAGGCAGCACGATTCCTCACAAGCCAACTCGACACTGCACAGCTCATTACAATGCTGATCTCCAGCCATCTCAGAAAGTTCACGTGGATCAGGTTCCCTCAGCTGTTTCCAAGGGTCACTTCTCTTCCTCCTCTGTCCCCATTCAGTCAGGCAGGTTGCAAAGGGAACAAGCAACCAACGTAGATACCAAGAGGAGGCAACAACACAACGATACATACCCTGAACGTAATGAAAATTTCTTTCTTCCCCACAGGCATCCGAACTGTTTGCCCATCCTCAACACCTGCAGTGGGGAAACAGAAGGAATGTCACCTTGCCTTATTATCCATGAGTTACTTGAGTACCTACAGCTCTTGCCATCCTCAAAAGCTGGCTACCAGAGCAGCACCTGCACATCCGGGGGCATGAGGCACAAGACCTACTAGCAGGAGCACAGTGACACTCTCCACGGGAGCCCAGGAGCTGTGGCCAAAGGAAGGAGGGGTCAGCACATATTCCCCCCTCTGAGGTGACCACTATGCCCCTGCCAGGCTTGTTGCTTCAATCCCTACAGCATTCCTTGGGGAAGCACATCAGTGTAAGGAATGCCTCCATGAGAATGGCAGGCTGTTCACCCAGGGTGCTCTCAGAGAAGCCAGTCTCCAGCCCCACCACTCCTCTTCTCTCTGCTGAGGAAGGCCATCAGCACACTGTTCTGAGCCAAACTAAGGCTTTCCAGATCCCCACCCTCTCCATCAAGCACAACTGACAGACCCAAGGCAACGAAACCTCCCGAGAGCTTCACTCCTCAAAGCCTTCCTAGAAGAATCCATGCACGGACCAAAACCTCAGCTGGGGAAGGGCAAAGCAAACATTTCTATCCATGGCCAGAAAGTTCCCCTGATTACCATCCCTTTCAATTGCCAAGCTCTCAACCTGCTCTGTCCTTAGGATAACTTCTCCACACCAAAACTTCTTCTGTTGCTCTCACGTAGCTGGCGGGGCCGAGCCGCACTTTGGAGGCAAGCGCCTTGCTGAGGGCCAAGGGGAAGCAAATAACTTGTTACTGAAGGGAAAGCAGCACAGAAAACAGCACTAACCAGCTGGCACAGGCACCATCACTGTCTTCCTCTGCTTGGTTTGCCCTGTGCCCCGACAGACCACGCAGGGCGTGGTGATGATGGAGCCGCGCCCGCCGCACCGCCGGCATGTGGACCGCATGACGAAGGGCCCCGTGTTTATCGTCTCCTGGCCAAGAGAACACAAGGTTGTACAGGTATTTAGTACCAGGATGGTGTTTTTCCACTTCCCCAAAACGCTGCCAGTGACCAGCCCAGCATATTTGGGTCCATATAGAGCTTGATGTGCAGCACTACGCTTCAGGAAGGGGTGGAGAGAGGATGGTGAGGCTGGATCCGATTCGATCGCCACCGTGTTCTGATTTCCACCAAAAAAAACATCACTACTAGGAGCAAGGGTCTCGTGGGGAGGTCTCCTCCAAGCAGCAGCATGGCAGGAGCTGTGTCTGTGCCAGCACTCACCATGCCAGTGCCATTGCAGTAGTGGCAGCGCTGTGCTTTGGTGCCAGGTTCGTGTCCTTTGCCGTGGCACCGCTCGCAGGAGTCGTTGATGTTCACCACGATCTCCTTGTTGACCCCCTTTGCAGCCTGGGTGAACGTCAGCTCCATGATATACTGCAGGGGAAACAAGGACATGGAGCTACAGCTGATGGGCAGACTGGAATTGGGTTAGGCCAAATGTCAAACCACCAGGTAATAGAAGGGGGGGAAGAAACAGATGGATGCCCAACTCATTCAGAAGGGTTTGAGCTGCTTCAGGAAGCAATAATCTGTCTCATATAAATGAAAAAGGGAACAGAAAGGTAGCAGGTATTACAGGAACAATGATTATACCAGTCTGATGAGTGTAGCAGAGGTAAGATTAAAAAAGAAAATATGAAAAATATGGAAAAAATTTACTAGAAATAGAAGTGAAATGTTTTTCTGCCCTCTGGAAAAACTCTAAATACTTCTAAAGGCTTTGTTTAACAGGAATGCAGCCAGAGGGGAGGGAGGAAGCTTTCAATCCCAATGGATCCCAAGATCTTCCTCAACAAACTTTTTCCATCAGCAATGATGGCTGCAGAAAATTGGACATTCTGCTTCTAATAGGCCATTTTCAGTAAAGCCAGAAGTACCAAATGCCAAGCATTGCTGAAGGCAGCACACAAACCAACACTGTCAATACTTAAAGGAGCATTTAGCTGCAGTGCAAAGAGCAAGACACAAGGGTTGGTTTTATTGTTTTGCCTCCACGGCAAAATTAAGCCAATTAAGTTGCAAAATTATGCCAATTAAGCAGTCAAACTTAACGCTGGAAGGCTTGGTTTACATTTACAAGGTACATTGTGGTTTCGAGCATTACAGATCAAAGCAGACCTATGTAAATCTGTAGAGCAGAAAAGATGCCTCTACAATGACAGGATTGTTTGGCAGCACCAACGGGTGTCAGTAAACACCAGATTAAGCACCTGAAGCCCAGAAAAAAAGATCCTGTCTGGAAGTGTGGAGGATGCATCTACATGGCTTATCAAAAAATACCTGACTCTCCCACCCGCGCCACGGGACACGTGTGCTGACACATCCAGAAGCAAATTCTTTGCTTAAGCTTGCTCCTGGAGCAGTCTGTGACAGGCTTCTCCTGGCCCTCTCCAACTTCTGCTGGCCCCCTCCAGCTTCTGCTGGCCCCCTCCAG